TTAATGTATAACTTTTTTGTAATGCATTTTTCTGGCTTTTTTTGTTATTGTTGTGTCTCTCACTGTTCAAATAAACCTACCATTGAAATTGTAGACTGATCATTTTTTTGTTAGTGGGCAAACTTACAAAATCAGCTGGGGTTCAAATAATTTTTTTCCCTGACTGTATGTACACTTCATTTTTTGACCTTTAGGTCGTGTTTAAGATGATTTGCCGTAAGTCAAAAAACAAGGAAAAGCATCCCATGGGCTCTTGGTGATAATATACTAAATTCCTGAAAAAAAAAATTGACTGGTGGCACCTATTGTTTGTGGGCTCTACCTCCACACATCTCAGCTTAAATCATTTCTCTTTTGTCTATACAACGTTCTTCTCTTTTCAGGAACTGGGTGCTGTGTCCTTGGACGGCTATTTCCACCTCTGGAAGGCTGAGCATAACTTGTGCAAGGTAAATCATAATACATAGTCTGACCAAAAATAATTGGATGATACATTCAAGTAACTGTGAACAGGGTGACCGCTGTTTGCGGCAAGTTGCATTCAGAGATTTTTACAATCCCACTTCAGTTTAATGTGAGATCAAGTGCCCACCAAAACAGTAAATATTCTTATAATGTTATATACAGTGGGTACGGAAAGTATTCAGACCCCCTTAAAATTTTCACTCTTTGTTATATTGCAGCCATATGCTAAAATCATTTAAGTTCATTTTTTTCCTCATTAATGTACACACAGCACCCCATATTGACAGAAAAACACAGAATTTTTGACATTTTTGCAGATTTATTAAAAAAGAAAAACTGAAATATCACATGGTCATAAGTATTCAGACCCTTTGCTCAGTATTTAGTAGAAGCACCCTTTTGAGCTAATACAGCCATGAGTCTTTTTGGGAATGATGCAACAAGTTTTTCACACCTGCATTTGGGGATCCTCTGCCATTCCTCCTTGCAGATCCTCTCCAGTTCTGTCAGGTTGGATGGTAAACGTTGGTGGACAGCCATTTTCAGGTCTCTCCAGAGATGCTCAATTGGGTTTAAGTCAGGGCTCTGGCTGGGCCATTCAAGAACAGTCACGGAGTTGTTGTGAAGCCACTCCTTCGTTATTTTAGCTGTGTGCTTAGGGTCATTGTCTTGTTGGAAGGTGAACCTTTGGCCCAGTCTGAGGTCCTGAGCACTCTGGAGAAGGTTTTCGTCCAGGATATCCCTGTACTTGGCCGCATTCATCCTTCCCTCGATTGCAACCAGTCGTCCTGTCCCTGCAGCTGAAAAACACCCCCATAGCATGATGCTGCCACCACCATGCTTCACTGTTGGGACTGTATTGGACAGGTGATGAGCAGTGCCTGGTTTTCTCCACACATACCGCTTAGAATTAAGGCCAAAAAGTTCTATCTTGGTCTCATCAGACCAGAGAATCTTATTTCTCACCATCTTGGAGTCCTTCAGGTGTTTTTTTAGCAAACTCCATGCGGGCTTTCATGTGTCTTGCACTGAGGAGAGGCTTCTGTCGGGGCACTCTGCCCTAAAGCCCCGACTGGTGGAGGGCTGCAGTGATGGTTGACTTTTTACAACTTTCTCCCATCTCCCGACTGCATCTCTGGAGCTCAGCCACAGTCATCTTTGGGTTCTTCTGTACCTCTCTCACCAAGGCTCTTCTCCCCCGATAGCTCAGTTTGGCCGGACGGCCAGCTCTAGGAAGGGTTCTGTTCGTCCCAAACGTCTTCCATTTAAGGATTATGGAGGCCACTGTGCTCTTAGGAACCTTAAGTGCAGCAGACATTTTTTTTGTAACCTTGGCCAGATCTGTGCCTTGCCACAATTCTGTCTGTGAGCTCTTCAGGCAGTTCCTTTGACTTCATGATTCTCATTTGCTCTGACATGCAGTGTGAGCTGTAGGGTCTTATATAGACAGGTGTGTGGCTTTTCCTAATCACGTCCAATCAGTATAATCAAACACCGCTGGACTCAAATGAAGGTGTAGAACCATCTCAGGGATGATCAGAAGAAATGGACAGCACCTAAGTTAAATATATGAGTGTCACAGCAAAGGGTCTGAATACTTATGACCATGTGATATTTCAGTTTTTCTTTTTTAATAAATCTGCAAAAATGTGAAATTCTGTCAATATGGGGTGCTGTGTGTACATTAATGAGGAAAAAAATGAACTTAAATGATTTTAGCATATGGCTGCAATATAACAAAGGGTGAAAAATTTAAGGGGGTCTGAATACTTTCCGTACCCACTGTATATCAGTGTATATAGTTGTATAGTGCAGTTTCCCTGAATAGCTGTAGAGTTCAATAGCTGTGCATACACACTAGGGCTCTGGGATATGACGATATACATTGTGTGATGATACAATTCCAAATCAGAAAAAGTTGGGATGTTTTGTAAAATCAAAATTGAAAATAGTGATGTGTAAATCATCTGTGTCCTGTATTACACTGAAAACAACACAGCAGCACATTATTTGATGTGATACCTCAGTTTTATTCTTTAAGAATAAACACTCATTTCAGTTGTGATGCCTGCAACACATTTCAAAAAAGTTGGGACAGTAAAACATTTACCACAGTGTGATGTTGCCGTTCCTTTTCACTACACTTAAAATATGTTTAGGGACTGAATACACCAGGTGATTAAGTGTATGAGATGTCATTTTGTCCCATTCTTCCTATAAACAAGTCTTAAGGTGCACAGCAGTCCTGGGTCTTCAGTGACCCAATTTGCATTTCAAAAAGCGCCACAGATTCTCTATTGCGAACGGGTCGGAACTGCAGGCAGGCCAGTCAAGCACTCACACCCTTTTCCTCCACAGTCGGGCCTTGGTAATGTGCAGTATGAGGTTTTGCATTGTCTTGTTGAAATACTCATGGGTGTTCTTGGAAAAGATGTAATCTGGAAGGCAGCACATGTTGCTCCAAAATCTCTCTGTATTGTTCAGTATTAATGGAGCCATCACAGAAGTGGAAGTGACCTTTGCCAAGTTCACTGACACAACCCCAGACCATGACAGACCCTGGCTTTTGGACTTGATGCTGGTAACAGTCTGGATGGTTCTTTTCGTCTTTGGTCTGGTGCACACAGCGTCCATTCCTTCCAGCAAAGACCTGAAATACTGATTGGTCTGGCCACAGTACACATTTCCATGGTGTGATGGTCCATCCCAGATGCCTCCGAGCCCAGAGCAGTTCACTGCGCCTCTGGACACTGTTGACATAGGGCTTCCTTTTGGCACAGCACAGTTTTAAGCTGCATTTATGGATGTAACTACGTATTGTAGTGCCTGACAGGTATGCCAAAATAATCCTGAGCCCATGTGGTTATATCGCTTATACAAGAGAGACGTTTCTTGATGCAGTGCAGTCTGAGGAAGCAGAAAGCACGGCCATCCATCCTAGGCTTGTGTTCTTTCCCTTTACGCACTGAAATACCTCCAGATTCCTTGAATCTTTTATTATGTTAGGATTTGGGGTTGTAGAAAAATGTCTATTGTTTCATAGTATGTCTGTAGTTTATTTTGTTGTCACAAACCACACTGCAATATTTTTCTTATTTGCATGACGCTTTGCGTTCTTCCACATAGCACAGATGCAGGCTGGAATTTTGCATGGAGGAGAGTGAAGGTGACACAGCCAAAACAAAATGTGGAGCTTGTAGCTGAAATGGGCTGCTTCTGTCACATGGACATGATTTGAGTATGATGAGTCTGACACACAAATTGTGCCATTGAGTGGTCTCTACAACAGACTTAAATTCCACTTATGCAAAAATCATATCAAATAGTACAATGGAACCTTGGATTGCGAGTAACCCGGTTTGCGAGTGTTTTGCAAGACAAGCAAAAATTTTGATTCGATATACGAGTGAGGTCTTTCAATAAGAGTAGTACGTACGCTTTGTCTGCTGAGCATCACGTGATGCACGTCACAACTGAGCCGATGGTTCTCATTGGTTCACTTTGATATACGAGTGCTTTGGATTACGAGCACGTTGCCGGAACGAATTATACTCGCAATCCAAGGTTCCACTGTGGGACTACAGATGAGCCAAGCAAGTATAGTTAAGTGCTCCAAACAAACCCTAGACTTGGATTTTGCAAGAATGTTGACTTTTGGCAGCGGCACGTCATTTGTCAAAGAATCCCAAAGATGGAAGAGATAATGGTTGCCATTACAGCTTGCATCTGCAAATACATGGCCTCAATTTACACTGTCGAGAAACGTAGGCTTTATACATTTGTAGCTTGCTTTATATTTGGTTTTATGCTTAACTGACAATTTGCACAAAGGTTCTAAATAAAAGAAGGAAAACAGTCAAATATGAGCAATGTTACTTTGAGTATATAATTCAAATTCAAAGTGTAATAAGAAATAGGCCTTTCCATGTGTTCATTAAACAATTTATTCATTGACATTATAGAAAGTGTGCTGTATCATGATGCGTATTTCTGTATATGAGATTCTGGTTATATCATAGGATTCATATAAAACCCTTTTTAATATTTATTGGCATTTCCCTCTAGATACTGTCCACCAAGCTGACTCACTGCAAAGAGAATGTGTGTCTGACATATGGACAGGACTGGTCGGTGTACGCTGTGGGCTCTCAGGCCCATGTCTCTTTTCTGGATCCACGGCAGCCAACGACTAGCATCAAGTCCGTCAGTTCCAGAGAGAGAGGAAGTGGTAAGTGATCTGTAAATTGATTTTAGCCAACCCCCCCAACTCAACTATACATTACTTAGCGACAAGGCCACACCCCATACTCATTGCTCCCTCACTCTTAAGTTGCATTTATTAAATATAGCAGAACATAGGTGAGAGGGTTGATCATTTTTAAATTGGCTTTGGGTTTAGTTGGATTTGTTTGTTTGTGCAGGAATCCGTTCAGTGAGTTTCTATGAGCACATTGTGACAGTAGGCACTGGCCAAGGTTCCCTTCTGTTCTATGACATCCGGGCTCAGAGATTCCTGGAGAACCCATTGAATCGAGATGGCATCCTCAAGCTTACTACAGGGAAAGGCTGGCTGGTACATTATTCAATTTTTTTTTTTTTTTTTTTCCCCCCAGTAAATATTTCCTTTATGGAAAGCTGAGGTACTGGGCTAGAGTGGTCCTAGAACAAATCTAATAACATTGGAGTTGTGAATTACTTGACTAGTCATAACCTTTCCTTTCTTCTCTCTTTGCTGTCTATCATGCTGCTTTCAGAATCACGATGAGACGTGGAGGAGTTACTTCTCAGACATTCATTCCTTCCCCAACGCGGTGTACACCCACTGCTACGACGAGTCTGGCACTAAGCTGTTTGTAGCAGGTGGACCGCTCTGTTCTGGCCTGCATGGCAACTACGCAGGACTTTGGAGTTAGCCTTTTCTTCTCCTCCATCACTGCATTCTGGTCCAGATTTTTACTGAGCCAGTCCCTCCATCCCTCTCCCTCTTCAAGTCTGTTGTATGTGATCACTGTCTTTGGTATCCCTCTTGCTCATTTAAATGTCACTCTGTTTTGCTCACATGTGGGCTCAGGAGCATGATCTTGCCCCTACCATATCACGGCTTTGTATATTCTTGTGTATTTTTGTGTAGACCATTACACTATCACTTCTCTCTAATTATTCCTTAGCTCAATTCACCTCAGCTACTCTGTTGATTTTTATATAAAAATGTACAAATAATTATCTAGTAATTTTCAGGAGCTGCAAAGTCTGCCACTGAGGAACTCTCAGAAGAGTTTTGAAAAAACTAACAATAAAGTTGTGTATGTTTTCCTCATTTAAAACATCCAACATGCAGGGAGTTAAGCTATGGTCTTTGGCTCACTTGTTTTTGTAAGTAAGGATAGTGTTTATTGCTGCTTTCTCTGTGATAAACGACAGTGTCTTTGTGAAATACTTGTGGAATTTTCTCCAAAAATAGTTCCTTTTCACTCTGTCATTGAAATGGATGGCAATACAAGAGAGGAAGAAATACTGAAGAGAAGAGAATTCATTTTAAAGAACTGAACAGGATGGAGAATATTTACTGGTTGGAACAGCTTGTCCTGTCCTACAACAATCACAAAGCACTTCTCTCTTCTGTCAGAAGTAAAACAAAGAAGCCAATCACAGTGGTGTTCATGCTTTTCACACTAAGATGATGTAAAGGAGAAACATTAAGAGGGTAAATGCAGTGTTGTTCTGCTATTAATTAATCCTGACTTTTTTTGTGTGATTTTACAGGCTAATATTCTAATTTGCTTTATTTGTATTTATTTTCCCCTCTCTGTCACCTTTACTCAGTTGGTCTGGGGTGTTTGCTGCTTTTGAAGGATATACTGAGTTTTGTCCTGCTTCTCTTTGACCACACTGCTTTCAGCAGACTTGTCCTTTAACTGTCACTGGAGAATTTGTTCTAGATTTTAAGATTTGGTAGCAATCCAAGTGTCACCAAATACGATGATTAATAGACAGTGGAGTCTGTAATTGATGGATTGAATCCCCTTGTGATTATGGGACGCCACATAAATTGGGAAGAAGATTTGGAGTTGCCCACTTCAATTTTCTCTAAAACTTAGAAAGAAAGATGCAAGGAGAACCATTGAGGGTTATTGGACTCTGTCCTGGACCTAAGTGCTGCAGGTGCATATGTTTGTTTTCAGTGTGATTCATTTGGTTTTCCCTCTGTTACTATCAAGGAGTGAGTGACTCTGCTCTTGTCCTGGTTTGGTTAAGGCAGAGTAGGCTTTAGTTACATTTTTGCCTTCCTCAAGTCTTTCTGTGAAAGACTGTCACAGGTGATCATAGTTTTCCTTTTATACATGGAACCTTTCCAGTTTTCATAATAATGACAGACTGAAAGAGAAACCCCAATTACAACCGCAAATTGAGCGAATAACCAACACTTGTAAAGTGTATTTTATATAAATGTGCATATGTGCATTTTTATGTATATGTCTGAGAAAGTGTGTGGATTGATTTGTCGACTTGGTGATACCCCTTTTTTTTAAAGACATGCCTCATGAATGTTTTTACAAATGACTGAATCAGGATATTGTAAGATATAAACATCTGAAGAAAAACAAGCTATTAAATCTTTAAAAAGATCAGATAATAAAGAAAATGTAAATTGATGTAACGTTCTGTTTTTCTCATTTTTGACATTACCTATCCCAAACTTTTTATCTTGAACTAAAATGGATCACTGAATGTTGCCATATCCGACCATATAGTAGCTCTCAGGAGGGACCAGTCTGTACTGTGATCGTGTAGGTATTGTTGAAATTGTGTAGCTATGTGCACCAAACATAATCTCAACAGAGGAAAATAACATGTTATTTGACTACAAAAGTCCAACGCAGCTCCTGGTTTCAGCGAGGTTTGTGTAAATATTGTGAAGTTGAGAGCCGGAGAGGAGAGCGGAGCATCCACCGCGGCAGCGCACGTCACGTGACCACCCTGTCTGCTGCTGGCCGAGTGAAGCGTGTTAGCAGGTAATAAAACACATTTTCTTATTTTTTTTCCCCCCTAGTTCAGTTTCTGTTATCAAGTGACCTTACGCCATAGTCTTAAGCATGTTTTCGCTGAAATAGTTGGTCGCCACCTTCTTTGTATTGCTTACAGGAGGCTGCGAGGGATGTGTTTTGCAATTTTTCTGTCTTGGTTCCCGGTGAGAAATGTCGGGATGGGATTGTGCTCCGCTGCGAGGCCCCTTTTCTTTAGATTTGCCACATCTTTGTTGTTAGCTGACTAGCCTGTTGTTTAGATGTAGAGGAAACCTCGGGTGCAGCTGCTACTATCATTGGATAACTGCGGACCCGTATACAGTAATACACGCATAAGACTTTAGCAAGCTTGTTCGATTTTCGTTGGATATCGAGCCAGATTTAGATAGCTTCGTTTGCTAGCTTCTCCCCTCTATCGTTTGTTCACTGTTGACGATATAATGTCAGCATTAGCATTGCTAGTGGCTAACTTCGATTCATGCTAGCGAGGACAAAGGGGACCCTAGTACCAGCAGCACCAAGTCGGTCAATGTGAAGTCGAAGATGACGCTATGAGAATCCGATTTATTCGTGCAAGATGGTCATTTAACGTTAACCGTTACCTAATGTGTAGACTCAAATGCTAAGTAACTCAGCAGCTACGGGCTAACATTAGCATTAGTTCAAAACAACGACGCGCTTGCTTTACTACTAAAATAAACAGTGGCTAATAGTTAGTTGCCTATAATCAGTTTTTGTTACATAAGTACGTATCCGCGTGTACCTTAAGACTTGTCATCTTTGTATCCTCAAATTAACGACATGAACAATCGAGATGTGCAGAGGTAACATTGCTGGATGATTGTTTTGTTATTGTTTGTGTGTAATCGTGGAGCCTCTTTATTCATACTTATAATGCGAATATCTGATGTATTGAACGCAGATTGTAGCTACTGCCGCACCTTTCTCGGTTATTAAAATCAGCTTTCGATGTGTTTGGGTGAAATTGCATTTAAATCCTGTTCGTCCTTTTGCATTAGCTTTGTTCCGTCTGGCAGCCAATAACAGCGAAGCATCTGTCAACGTCACTCGGGCTCTGCGAGCTGGATTGCTATTGTTCTCTGACACAAAACCAGTGGAGATGTCGGTAGTTAGTAATTGATACCACAGTCAAAGTTTAGCAGTACAAGCTGAGGTGCAGGATATTTTAGCCTCACAGTGTCTTGAGCAATAATTTTTCCCCATATATTTGTAGATTTATCGAGCTGTTTGTGTGTACATGGTTGTGAGTGTTTAAGATTTAATATCCATCCAATTTGCAGCAAGGTACAAATTGTACAGGACTCAGCTATCGGATACACACAAATGAATTCAGCATTTTATTGCAGTAGTGTAATGTTTAGAGAGAGAGAGAGAGTGTGTATATAACATTGATCTAGCAACAAAAGGATTTGTGAGTTCAGGGTGTGTACACTGTTTGTACTGCTGCACACACACTGTGTTTTGTGGTGTTTGTAAGAGGACACTGGGTTGCTCTCCCTCCTTGACCTAGATTTCAGCAAGCTGTTGCATCACAGTGTATCTTACAGCCTTTATCGTGCTTGTGCACAAAAGCTTAGCTGTGCTCACAACACATATTTCTGGTATTAAACACTTAACTTTCTTCTATGCAGTCACACAGGTGGGAAGGCTCTGTAAACACATTGTAGATTAACAGTGTGTTGTACATAATATGTGGGTTTAAGTTGGTGTATTACTCATCTTTCCATGTTTCTGGTTCTTTTGCAGGTTTTTCTATTTTGTACATACAGAGTTTTGTAAATACTACATATGATGAGCTCACTGGGCAGCGACAAGGCCCGGGGCCCTCGGGAAAAAGCACTGCCTGCTGCTACTCACACATCACAACCACAGAAACAGATACAGGTGAGTAACTCACCCCGGTAACATTAAAAAAAAAGCATTGTGTAAACACATTCCTTCTCAACTACAGCAGTTTTGACACAAAACAGCCATGGGGCTCACAACTATCCCTGCCAACAAAACCACCATATACAGTGGTCAATAGCGAAAATTATTTTCTTGTCTTTTGATTGCAGCCACACACACTTTCAGTGGCGACAACAGGAGCCACTTGCCCAGTAACCATTTCTTCCTTGTTGGTGATTTCAGACTATGTAATCCCAGCTAACAGTTTCATTCATTCTTTGTACAATTTCTGTACTTTGTTCCTCTTTTTGCCATTGTTTTCTCAGTTTTCTTACTGTATTTGTGTTGTAGGCTACCGCTGAGCAGATCCGACTTGCCCAGATGATCTATGACAAGAATGATGCTGACTTTGAGGACAAAGTTAACCAGGTGAGAAGCACTTTGTGCATTTAGCAGAAAGCTCATTGTCTGGCTACTAGGCTGTTCTTCTGTGACCCGAGTACACATGAAAAGCGATGACGCAAGTGGCACCATGACGTGTACTGTCACATTGTGCTGAACGGGTGCATTGTGTCACTAGTACACCTTAGTTGACTACTATAGCCTCTACTACAGACCTCTCGGCTCCGGGTGAAAAAGGACTGCTGCTTCCTCAGACCCACTAGCAATTTATTTATCTTCTCTTTGCTCAGTTGTCCTTGGAAGATGTCATATTTTTTGCCATGATGAGTCTCATAGTGGCGCCAAATATTATATTCCTTTAGCACAGACACTTGTTGATGACACACCAAGCACGCAGGTTTCCCATTTATCTCTGTGAATAAATAGGAAATGGTCTGTTTTTCTTGGAAAAGTCTATACTCTATATGCCCTTTTCTCCTCAAAGACATTTTGGCTAATGTTTGTGAGGGCGAGGAGACCAGGTAGACTAGTTGTGCCGCTTCTTCTACTCTGACTGAAACAGTGCACCGCTGGCGGATAATTTTAGGAATAGCATTTTATTAAAAATTTCTAGTTCATGTCTTTTATGCATTTTTCACTTTCAAAATTCATCCTGCGGGCCGGATTGAATCCCCCAGCGGGCCTGACCTGGCCCATGGGCCGTAGATCTTACACCCCTGCTCTACACCAAGGACTGCATCTTGAAGGACCCCTCTGTCAAGCTTCTAAAGTTTGCTGATGATACAGTGACAAGTCAGCCTACAGATGGGAGGTTGAGCAGTTTATCGTGTAGCCAGCAC